TGCGAAACGTCAAGAAGAAATTCTACCGAACGACGGCCTAAAAACCCGAAAAACCCATTAGTTTCAAGGAATGGCCTCGAAAGTCTATCTCTTTTTGATACAAGCGATTTCTTAACAATATCGCTATTCCAGTATTATTTGCGTCCCAAACACTAATTGTTCAGAGCCTGGACGTGAAGTCAGTGAATTTAACACTAAACTTGACATCGATTCCGTCCATATCTCTATTAATATTTATTGTTACAAACCAGAACGCAAGTTGGAACCGCGTAGAATAAATTATAAAAGCATGTGCACTGGTATTTTAAAACTATTCCTTGATTCAATAATATTGTCGTTGCTAATGGCTTAACTAACCCAAACTAATTAAAATCAGACTTTATAAAAGTGGGCGATAATTTAAATTAATTTTGGAATTTTTGGAAACTGTTATTCTTACCTTGGCAGAGTCCAGATTGAAATCCCTTTCCAGCGAAATGGAAGCCGGAGATGTGTAGGCTGAACAGTATCCAATAATCATGGATACCCAAGACACTGCGATGGCAGTAATCAACTGTAACAAATTCGGAATTTAAGACAAAAATCCTAAAAGCTGATTGAAATGAGCACACCTGAGACCAAGTACATTTAGGTTTAGGCTCAGATTCTGGTAAGGAAAAAGTAACATGAGTATCGGCACGCACTAAAACCCGCATTGTGCTTTAACGTTCTTTAACCTAATGTGTTAACGTCCAGACACCGCAATCGTACTTTAACAAGAAAAATTAATTGTTGAGACCGACAATTTGACGCGATGTTTGATTAAACTGATTATATTGAACGGCTCAGTTTTATAATATATCAAGTGCCCCCTCTAAGTTAGTTTTAATTTTTTTTAATAGGTATTCGTTACACGAACTTATTCCTGTCCTTATCGTTTTATAATTTCCTATCGTAATGTCCATAACACCATTTACGAAGAACTTTTATTATTTTGTTTATTTTACGACTCACATTTCATTAATATGCAAGCACTGTGTCGCGCTCGCAAAAAAAATTCTCACTCAGAACTTGCGGTTACTAACGTCCGGTTTGTTGCGCTGATTTCAATTAATGGAAACTACCCTAGGAAGTATTTTTATTACATGGATTTGTGTGGGCTGTGATATTGACGTGATGTTTTCAGTGGATAATTGAAAATTCGGGATTTACTCATGGACGTACACAAAAATTCATAAACAAACATCATACGAGGTTACAGATTTGTTTGGAATCTCAAAGACACACCGATGGTAGCGTATTTTTCAATGTTATGGTTGCTTTTCTGGGTTCTGGAATAAATAAATAAACTGGTCAAGTTCGGGAAAATGCATCATCAATCCACGATAAGGACGCTTTTTTGATCTGGCGATCATTTGAAATCGCGCAAAAACAGCGAAGCCTTGAATAAAAACAACTTGCAGTTATTGGTGTTTGATCAAGATTCACAAACCCCCTGTAAAGTATCAAATCGCAGGTAAACTAACGAAAATAAACTATTTTTGCATTAAAATCCTTACGTTCTATTAACAATTTTTCGCCACAACCCACATTTTATTGAATCGCGATTTCATTTTGGCTCTGTCTTCGATTTCAAAATACAGTTTTGATGCTTTCGCTCGGTTTTGTACAAAATTTGCCTTAATTTATGAAAATTTACCTTTCCCTTTAAACTAGAATTTTTCCTCGAAATTTAAACATTAAAAACTAAATATGTAGCAAACTCTTTTTATGTTCACTATCGCCTATCTATCGAACTCAAAGGCAAAATTTCATTTAAAAAAAGTTTTTAAAGGAGACTAACTGAAGTCTCTTTGAGCCACATGGACTATTCTTACGAGCTTTCCCATGTTGTTTGGTTTGGCTCGCAAGTACTGTTTTACCTTCTTCAAAAATTATAAAAAAAACCCAATTCCGTGAGACCTTTGGTGCTTTTGTAAAAATTCTACCAACCAGCATGTTTCATTTTTATTGCGTTAAGTATTTATCTACAATGTCACCCTGAAATTTTGAAGAATCGCCGATTTTGAAATTAAAATCGTCGTGAGAACCCAGAAGCTGTTGAAATTTATATCCAAATTTATCAGCTTCATGGTTTAGTAGAATGTTTAGAATGTCAATTACCTGCGTTTTAATGTGGGCAAACGGTACAGGTGGCTTCTTCTGCTGTAGCTCTGGCACTGCATATTGTTCTTCTTTGTCTTTGTTGTCTTGTAAGGGTTGAATTTCAGGTATTGTCATCCTTAGATTTTCCTCCAAATGCATTTTTCTCGAATAATTGCAGATCGTGTTTGTTGATTGGAAGTCTCCAAGTGATGAAAGGTTCGTGGCAGTGGTGCAGGCTGAAATACACGGAGTGTCTTGGGAAGGCAGCCTTTGATGCTGTCCATTCTGTAAACAATTACATATCGGTAATGTACGACCCCCAGGTCAAAGAAAGTATTTATGCCAGCTTCACTGTTCGCCAACCTCGTGAAAAAGATAAATCAATTTACGTCATTGTTCTACAACATTATGGTGAATCTGGAAAGGTCACTGTTGTTTTGCCATAAAATCCACTGGCTGTTTCTGGTTTCAGCTACCCATAGTTGGTACTCATTTCAATTTATTTTGCTTGCCAATTAATTCCAATTAATATGGAAAATTCATTAGAGCAATTTTGGTAGGACGTATCAGACCGTCCATGTCTTATCAAACATGCTTTCAATATCTCCTGCTGTGCAAATTCAGTAATAAAACAATTTTCATTGAGGCCAGCGAAAGCGAACAGCCAGCAAAGTTTAAACCTAAGTTAATATCCATTCGTTATACTAAAGGACCAGAAACTTTGAACTCTAAGTCAATCCAATAATATTTGAAACAAAAAAATCAAGTTTAATAAATTTGAATGAGAAAGGAAAACAAAAAAATTTTCAAAGTGCGACATTTCTCTAGCAAAAGTGTTGGTTATTGACAAAACAACTGGAAATATGTTGATTAATTACTAAATTTCCAAAATAAAATTAGTAATTAACTGCATACGTTGTTTTGTCCTCTCCTCATTACTTATATTCCCTTTCGCCAATGATTCAGTATTACTGTAGGCCTTGATGATTAGCTTCCGTTTGTTAACTAGATCGGAAATCTTTACATTAAAGATAATGGTTTGGTGATTTTAATTATGATCGCTAAATTAACGTTAAAGGTCGAATAATGTTCCGCGATTGTTCTATTCTACATGGATTTTATAATTTTTCATAAGGTCCAAATGAGAAGTTTTTGAAATTTATAGGCATGGTTTTTTTTTAACGCATTCGCTTGAATTGACCAATATGTTACGGAGTTTAAATTGACAAGCAAATTAATCAATATTACCTGCAAACTTTATCCTATTTGGGTAGCACGGAATATTTCCATAAAAAGGAATAAATAAGTTACACTGAAAGGTATCATTAAAATTTGTCTGGAAGATACATCTTCTCAATACCGTGCAACGAATGAAACTAAAATATAATCCATGACCAACAAGATTTGATATTTTTAATTAAACGTGCTAAAACCGGTAGATAAGTTTGTGGCAATAATCAGTTAAGTATTACACTCAGCTGACAAAAATCGATGGCTAATTGTGTTTTATTATTATTATTATTAAATGCTTGAGAGGATTATCGATTTTTTAGATATGAGGCAAAATACGCTAATCATTATAAAGAGCATAACAGCAAAAAAATTCCAGAACGAAGGACTTATCCAAGCTTAGTTTTATGGTTCTGAATTATTCTAGGTGGCTATTCCCTTGCGACTTTTATTACTAATTGGCAACTAGAGTGGTCGGTATTTTATAGAGAAATCAATGATTGTGTCCTTTGAAAAAAACAAAAAATCCTCAATTTCTTTTCTGAAGAAAGAAAGAAGATCTGGTCTTTTCAATACACAAAAACACAATTTTGACCCAACAAGAAAGTTTTGAGTAACTTATTTGGACTTGAATCGAAGAAATGCATAATTAAATCTAAACAGGATAAAAATAGCCAATAATTGGTCAAAACTAGTTTTAGTGGTTCGACTAGGCCGTCAGGAAGAGAATTGCTTGATGTTTTTGCAGAAAATCAGTGGTTATATAATAAAAATGCGACTTAACAATAGCAGTCTGCGCAACATTATCTACTGTGTTTGCTGGCTGTATACAGTGTGAATGTAAAAATATAAGTGGAAAACACTTGGCATTGAATGTGGCATTTTTGATGACCTTAGTAGTGTTTGGAGGCGTAAAAGCTTCAACATTGATCAGAATGAGAATGCAGGATTTTTAACTTTGAATAAATAGTGCCACCTCTCATTACCTATACCAATAAATACAAAATAGCATGCATGAAAGTGAAGCATATTTGATAATTTATTGGTACTGGAGTGTTTATTTTTAAAATTTTATGGAATAATACTGAACTGGATGGCAGGGAGCCAATAAATTATATCTATTTATATGTCGCGTTAGTCACAAGGGTTATATTTTTGATTGATTTTGTTGCTATTTATATGATTTAGTTAGTGAGGTGAATTTGTACAAAATGTTGCAGACAGATTGAAATTGAAAATACACACAAAGCTCTACGGTTTATTTCTGCGTGAAACATTGCGTTTAACTGCTCAAGCTATAGATTCACCTACTTACGGACTATTTGCGAACAGGTTATATATTGATACAAATGATTGATGCCAATATTTGCGAAACATTACGGTGATTTTATGCGACCATTGGTTCAGAGAATTTACCTTACAGAACTAATGGTTTACTGTGAGAGTTGGCTACTATTTGCCTTTGGTTCATACAAATCTATCACTATTAACCCCAAAAATATGCATTATATTCACAAAGTTAATGTATTGTATCATACAGAATACAGATAGGCCGAGTACTAAATTTAGCTGAGAGAGGCCGCCTGGAATTTGCGAGATTCATGAATCGATACGTAAAAGCAAAAGTTAATAATCGAAAAAACAGGGAATGGGTACAGAAACCAGTAGAAATGTTAGTTTAAAGAAGAGATCTAGACAAGTCGGTTGTCAGTTCCATCCATCTGCTAACAAAAACATAATGTGGTGAATATCGGCAACGAACTAACGTTTGTAAGAACGTATCGGTTATTATACCAATGTCCCCTGTCTGGCAGCTGGTACGAATATTCTAGAAGAGCGGTACGTCGTGAAACTTTCATTCGGCTTAAGAATTTAATATTAGCAATGTATGTGTTACTTTTCGAAAACCATAATAATCTTTAAATGAATCCTCATTAGATGGCTACACTACTCACATAGTCATCCCGACAACCACAAGGTAGCGCATTTTTTTCAGAAAAACGAAATTTAAACTTGATAAAACAAATTTCCAAAGAATTGTAAACAAACATTGAAAGTAAATGCGAAAAAACTTACCCATTTCCTGCCAATCCATGGATTGAAGAATGTTGTCCACGGCGAATTATCCGAAGGGTGGTTTTGCCTTCGAACACTAGGTACCCTGGAATAATTTTCTCGGTCAGAATCGATCATAATCACAGATGTTCATAAAAAAATCACTTGCTTTCAGACTAACTAACAAGGTAAACGTAATCAAAAAATATGCCGGTTTGTATACGTTCTTTGACTTTGAAACTTGCGCAACTTTTCAAACTTTTATATTTTAAGTTACGGCTATATATAGCTGAATGAAGTAAGAATAACTCGAAGCTGGTAGATATATATATATGTACGCAACATACCTGCGCGATGCATGTAATTGTGGGCATGGTCGGAACAAAACACGGGCGTCTATAGCGACTTTTTCCAAGGGGTAGCACAGAAAAATAACTATATAATAATTTGCACAACCGTAAATAATGCAGTAAAAAACACAAAATCTATAAAACAATATTCATTTATCTGGCACGTGGCTGCAACTTTTCCAATTAGCTTTGACGTCGATTTTATTTATTTTTTTAAATTATTTGTTGAATTGCAAATTAAAATTAAATCAGTCAAACAGGAAAATACACTCGAAAAATGGTTCACACGAGCATCAAAATTAATCAATTAAACGCAGTGAAACTGGTGTTTTATTGACTGCCTGAACACCAAAAAACTATGTCATTGCTGAAACAGTTCGCGTTTTTTAATTCGACTGTCTCATACAATAACATTAATTTAATTGGCTTTAATATGGTCAATAGCCAAAGTGAATTTATCCGAAGTAACTTCGAACTAGAATTTTATGCATTTCCAATATTGTATTTTAAGTTTTAACCATATGGAAAAACTTCATGCGGAAGTAACCAGGAAGGAACTACCTTTAATATCAATGTTTGCAAATATAAAGTAAATTAAAACGAAATGCATTCAGCTACACAACAGCGGTCAAACAAAAAAAAACATTTTACGAGCATTAAAATGAATCAATCAAAAGCAGTAAAACTGGTGTTCCATTGACTGCCTAAACACTAAAAAAATATGTTATTAATTCGTTTGCTGAAAGAATTTGCGTGTTTTTATTCGACTATTTCAAACAGACATTAATTTAATAGGGTTTCATATGCTCAATAGTTTAAGTTAATTAATCTGAAGTAACTGAACAAGACTAGCGTTTTTTCACTTAGAATTCACACTTTTTATTAGTGTTTTAATCTTCAAATATATGAAAAAGTTTCTTGGAAACAAAGGACTAGTTTTAATGAATTAATTTTGCAGCAAATTTAAATTAAATTAAATCGTACTCCATTCAACTACATAACGCCAGTCAGACAAAAAAAAGCAAAAAAATTAATTAGTAAGAGGAAATATTGCACGGGCACTGAAATTAATCAACTAAAAACAGTAAATTTGTTTTCTAACTGCCTAAATACTAAAGAAATTTAATTCGCTTGCTGAAACAGTTAACGTTTCTTAATTCGGCTGTTGTATACAATAACATTAATTTAATTGGCTTTAATATGCTCAATAGTTAAAGTTAATTTATCTGAAATAGCCGAGAGAGCACCAGCATTTTATCTATTACAACAAGATTTTAAACTTGAAAAAGATGGAAAACTTTACAAAGAACATTGAAGCAAAAGCAAAATTCAGATCGAATAACTAATAAAATCCAATGGTCATTGGTATATAAAAGAGATCGGTGCACGTGAGTTTGGCCACGTTTTTTGGTATTCAGTCTTCAGATGTGGAAATTGATTGGATGCAGTGTTGAAATAAGGCCTCGTAGGCCTGGTCGGAAAAACATATTTTTTAGACCTTAGAGACTAGTTACAATCTGGCATGCAGTGGAAATTTCCAGTGTGCAGACTTACAGTCGAGAAATATCTCAGATGTTGGTAACTTGCCAGTCAACACAATCGTAAATTGGCTTATTGTTTTAATAAAATAATTGATATGTTGCTGATTTAATTCATCCAGAAAATTCCATTGCTGAGACTCTTTTGCTAAACTGTTTTCTTTCGATGGACATGGCATGATTAAATTCATGCAATGGGAGGTAAATGTTTACTGTTCGTTTCTTACCCTGAGGGCATTAGAGGAAATCAATTTAAAATTGAGAAAGTAGAGTAAATAATATGAGGATTTTGTTATTAGAAGAAAATAATGTAGCATTTCTGGTCAAATTGTCGAACTATCTGGCCTCAAAGGGCGAAAATGGGTTTACCTGCGAACAATAATAAAAAGTTCATATGAACGTGCTCCTGGTTGCTACGTGCATTGTCTGATAATTATTTAAATCTAGTCAGGTTATTTTGATTGAAAACCATTTATCGGGGGCACAATGAAAACATTTTTTTCTTAATCTTCTGTTGAAAAATGCGACAAATACCTGCTTTGCTTTGATTGACTAGCAACGATGATATTGAGCGGTTGCAATCTTTATCGGCAAATTAGCACTAGTGTTGAAGCAAAGTCTGTAATATTTATGACTATCTACAACCTCCCAATGACAATCTCAAGCCAAAAGCTGCCTAAAACTAATTTTCTGGCGTTATCTACTTCCAAAGTACCTAGATGAATGTCTAAAACCGTTATCAATATGATCCTGAAAACTCATATTGCATATTTAAGGTGCTTATGTTTTTCTCGACATATACAAGTACGTACGACTAAATGATGGAATATTCCGCTCTTGAACTGTTTTAATGACGTTCAATTGGTTCTAAAACCGGAATTTTTCGAGGATTATTTTGAAAAAAATGACTACAAAAGTATTAAGTTGATGAGCGTAGAGACTTCTAAAGAAATAAGTAGTTTATCAAACGCTTTAATTGTGAAGTAATGGAATATTCCTACGCCGCTCATGCTCGTGCTGACAGCTAAAAACAATAACCATTTGAATATTACGTTCGTCTAATCTAATTTCAATTGGTTCTCGAAGAATCTCGAAACGTGTTGTCTTATCTTGAAGATTTAGAACAAGCACACTGTAACTCGGGAGATTATTGAAGGGCTTGATGTTCAACATTGCTTGAACGAGCTGAAGAAAAATCAATAACTAACATAGTTGAAAAAATAAATTGCCTGAAAGACAGGAAAACACCATAAATATTGCATGTCACTAAATATCATAATGGCAAAAATCTCCTTCTTACTTGGAACGCCACAAAAGAAACCATTGTCTACTACAGACTTGCCATTGTATAACAAACTGTTCAATTAGGAGTGGAAAATTTTCACAAACCAACAAGTCTTAAATGATTCATGATTTTTCTAAATTAGATATTTTCCTGTTTGTTATACATTTTGAGCCGCAATGAATTAAAAATTCTCAATAGAAAAATTTAATTACACTTAGACTCGATGGAGATTAATATTAATCGGTTGTAAAGATAGTTTTAATTGACAGTAAAGCATTCTAATCGGGTTTTACCACACATTAAAATTTATAGGGTGTCCCAAATGTATGCCCGAGTAGAGAGCGATTTTTCCTTGCTAGACAAATTATATTTTCTTGAACAAATTTTGTAGAGCATTGCCTAATGCAAGTTGTTGCATGCCATGCTTAATTCATTTTCAATTTCCCGGAAAGCAAACACTTTGTAAATGTTTTGATTCTGTGTATACTCAGAAACATTTTAACCCATAATTTTATTTTATTTGGACAGTAGCATGTCCAACATGGTAGAACTGGTGAAATATTTACTAGAATTGAAGTCGTTCAATATTGAAGCAGTTGCTAGACAAAATGATTTCATAAAGTAAAAATTGTGAAGTTGAAAAAGTGGGTTTGTGCCTGATGCAATATTATTTATAAGAAATCGACGTCACATGTGCTGAACGGAATGTTGCTTAAGTTGCTTCGTCTTGCTGGTGAAGGTGTGTCAGCCAATGAAAAAGCAGTATTTGTCGGGCCCCCAGCACGTCACTCGACCTTGTCTTGGTACTGTGGTCTGTGCTTGTTATTTCTTATAGCAAGACAACAGTTTATTTAATTGTAACAAGCTCAATACGAGTTTATTGAATCTTTGCGTCAATAATAATTAAGAACCGACCAATCACATGCCACTGATTGTTGTCAGCCCATCAATTCCGCGCCTTGACCCCCCAAGTTAAGCTTAACTCACATTTCCCAGCATTAATCTGAACAATTTATAACGATAAATAAACTATTTATTTAGTGGTCAGTCGGTTGTGACGTCGAAGACACACCTCCTCGACTTCACCGTTTATGGATGTTTCGCTATTTCGTTTCACCTTACACTTTTCCTCTTTTTACATCAAACATTTCACTTATTGTTTTTCTAGGCTTTTATTTGTGCAATTTGAAGAATCAGGCCAAGATTATTAAAACGTTTACACTGCTTCTAACTGCTAAAACTTATTTCCAAACCACTTTGGGCTCACACGGTTTTAATGAGTAGAAGTGGCTTGGGTAACAGGACCCATGGCACGTATGTTTCGTCCCATACAAATCAACTAGAATCTCTTGGCACTCATTGAGCATTCTGCCGAAATATTGACGAACAATGCCAAATAATTCGGAAGAATTCTGTTCAATTTGGGTGAAACTATTCAAGAAACAGCTGGGTGTGAAGCATACATATTCAACTTTGTCGGTTTTCACCCAGCCTTCCCCTATGGAAAAGTACCAGCGGTATTTCAACCATAGCTAAACACCTACCGCCTGTTTCATAGTATTCTAGGTATTTCGGTTTATTTCCCTTCTTGTAATTATAAATACGATCCTTTGTTTGGGGAAGCCGCATTTAATGCGAAACTGAAGAGTACGTGTTAATAACCACGTCCGAGATTAGAATCCGTGTCGCAAATATTGCCCAAATTGAATTAAATACTAGATTTTAGTTTTCATTGGATGTATGGGAGGTAAAAGTGAAACTAATGTTTTTTGTGCAGGTATACAGCCGGTAACCAAACAAAGGAATAAATAATATTGAAAAAACGAAAGGCAAAATATCACCTTCATGCAGTGTTTAAAATTTCAATGCGAACTACCTTCGCCTAATTCAAAAAGCAAAAAGTGCAAATTTAAATCTGTTTACATTTAATATTCGCCATTTTCACATATTGTTGCGGTCATCATGCTTTTAACTAATACTAACGAGATGAAAAAAATAGAGGAAGTCATTTGAATACCGTTTTTAGCGTAATATTGATATTGCATAGGCGGCGCCAGTAGTCCCGAACAAAATAAAAATATATAAAAGCATAATTTGCAACGTTTTATATAAGTACACTCGGGTTTATTAAAATATGTAATTATTTGGAAACATTCAGCAGGTTTTTTAAATAAAAAATGTGCAAATGCAAAAAGCTCTACAGCCCTGTGAATATTTCGTAATAAACATCTAGTACTAGTGAAAAAATCGCATTTAGTTAGAAAACAGCGGCGGAGATTAAATGAAAGATTATATTTTTCCCGTTCGGATCTTCTGGATTGATTTCTATTCCAATATCAATTTGACTTTTTCAATATCCCGCGGATTTCCTACCGGGGCGGAATTTTTCAATAAACCGGCTTGCATTTGAAAGCATATTTAATCATTTTTTTTTACAAATCCAACTTAAAAATCTGGTTTGAATCAGGCCAAAAGTCTGACAAATTAGCACTGTACAGTTTCTAGAACAGTCACCAAAAAGTCGGATTTTTATCATACCAAAACTGCATAATATTATGATATAGTCCATGACTTTACCATTTAAAAATCTAGTACACTTCATCAATCATCAATTGAGCAGAAACAAATTAATTTAACATATACTTTTGTTAAAAAAAACTGATGGAACATACCTACGCTTGTTGGATACAACAGTGGGTCTATAGACGGTGTTGGATCCCAAAAGATTGCTCCTGGATGATAAGTCTCCAAAGTCCATGCTAACTGCAGTTGCACTAATGCTGTTAGGTAATTAAACTTTCAATATAGAATGAAACTCTCAATATAGAAGAGCGAAAATCGACTGAAACAAGGTTATTATGTCGACGTCTAGTTGTAGTCACGATTAAATTTACACTAACTTCCAATCATGCAAAGGATTTATATTTATTATACATTTTAGCGAGATAAGATAAGTGCGTTTTGTTTCCTTTACCAATTAGTAGGTAGGTACATCTATAATATATTAAAGGTAGTCTCTTACTCTTTTAGAAACGATATTGATGATACAGGCTGGATTGCTTAGCTTAAGCTACCCTTTTTATTAAACCATTATAATTCATCAAATTAAATTTGATTCTATGTGACAATCTGATTTCCCTTTTGTTCCACAGCTGAATCCAAAAGTACACGAAAAAATAATAACAGCAACTTTGACCAAAGGCATTTAAATAAATAAGGACTGTTTTTATTCTTGGAAGAACTGCTTCGAATCATATCTGCATTAGTTTTTGGTGGTAATCTCAATTCACTTCAGGCAGTGTCCTTCGCTGTATAGCAGGATTAAAAAAATACGCATACATAGTAATTTTCCATGGAATATTCCACTTGCTAAATTTATCAAGTACATGTATTTAAATCAAATACCTTCACGCATCAAGGTTATAATTCCTCTTCGTCCTGCAGACCCATTAATAATTAATGATACCAATCTTTGGAATAAGTAAATAAATAGTGATTGGCACCTTAAATAAGTTATTGGGTTCTTTAACTTTAATTATTTTTGTACTATAGTACATTTAACGCATATGTTATTCCATTTGCCTATTAAGGCAGGTTTGAAGAATAAATATCATTTAACAATTTATCCACGGGAATATTGGATCGTCTCCCCATATTTGGGAATTTTTGCAAACTTTAGTCAGCAAATATCGTATTTAAATATTAAACGCATAAATAAACGAATGGGGATGTTTACAAGCAAAATTAATCAAATGCAATTGATGATAAAACTGCATAGTTTTAAACGGCGATTTATATAACCATCGTTGGGTAATTATTTGTTTACAACTAGTAACGTTTTTTTTATTTCCTAGTTGCACAAACTCGTTCGTCAGCAATGGTGTTACCTTCCCGATTGTCCTTAAAGAACAAAGAAAAAACGATCGGATTGTTATAAAAATTTCCACTCAATAACGATTGTTTATTTTTCAAATAATCATTAAATCGAATTGATGCGGCATTTTAGTACAATCTAGGATTCTTTGATATTAAATTAATTGTATAGGTAGGTAGTTGCTTTCGAAGCCGGAAGATATTCAGAAATTGCGGTTCGATAGCAATCACGATCTAATTAAAGGGTAATTAGCAATAAACTGTAAGTGCACCAATCAAGGTAAGATGGTCGATGGCCCGAAATAATTGTTCTCCGTCGGGTTCTAGTTAATAATTTATTATTATCTGGTCTCTTGATATATTGACGATTTGGTCATGTAAAAATATTATTTATATTTAGTATGTTATCAATATAAGAGAACATACATTCATTTCAATAATGAAGAAATGCATTGGATTTTAAAAGCCACTGAAAGCTTTCCAATATCTTAAATGACGACTTAACCACATCTTTTAGCACATTTTAAGTCCATTTACTTGCTACTAACAAAAACTAATTTTTTTGTGTTCTTCCAATTTCCGTTATTGAAATGCAAATAATTTTTGCATGTTACGACGCAAGAGACCAGATGGTGATAATTGATACCACGTGTGAATGTTTAAACTTTTCGCATATTGTTTTGGAATAATGATTAAAATCAATATAAACTATTAGGAAAAGAATAAACAGAAATATGTATTTAGAAATGTCCTCATAAGCCAATAGTCGTGCCAACAAATTTACGAATATGAAGAATGGCAGAATCTTGTAATTTAATCGTTTTTTAAGAATAAATCTGAATTTTTATGATGATTTTATTTTCAACCTACTCTTCACGCTGTGAGAAAGTGATAATTGCAAATACAGCGCAAAATATGAAATAATCTAATGCGTATTATAGAAAACGAGTATTATTATGGGCCGCCCACTCGCCTGGTCGAGTGATTTATAAATTTTAATGTCTTTTAATTTCTTTTAGACATCAAATACGCAGTACAGATAAGTTACATAAAAGTACCAGACTGGCATTACTCATTAGTTCAGCAGTTAATGATTTATTTAATAACTCAGGATGTTACGCTACTGGTAATAAAACATCCAACGCAATTCAGATTGTTCCTGAAGCATAAACAATCCTCATGTCCCAGAATTGACAATGCAAAAAGTAATTTATATTCAACAAAAAAGTGTTGCTTAAATATTTTTGCTAGACATGTTTAATTTTTGGTTGTAAACCTTGATATTTCTTTGACCCATTATAATATTATAAACAAAACTAATGTTGATGGTTGATTGATTTGAATTATCGAGGATTTCATATAATCAACCTCAAAAAACTTTTCCTTATTAATAAAAAAAGCCATTGGCATACTTTTGCAGATTCCAGAAACAAATGGCTGTAACTATAGATTTCAGTATATTGCCCATTAAATCTTCATTGCGAATTGGGGCCAGTTAATGATTTTTAATGGAAAAGTCCCATACTTAAATGGCAGTTTCAACCAGAGAACATTAGAAATCCGGCGTAGTTTGGTTTAATTTGGGTTAGTCTCAACTCAAGAGAATAATACCTTAAACAATATTTGCTAATTAAAACTAGAACCAACAATTAAGACTCGAAAATGCGCATTTGAAGCAGCCTAAAGAGACTGTTTGAACAACACCTAGTCACATAAGATAGGGATATTTCTAATCAGATTTTTCTACATTATTCATCTGAGATCGATTGCAAGTAGAACCTGATTTTCGGAAAGTGTTTGCATGACGAATGAATGAAGGTAAACATGGAATTTGAAGAAAATGGCAACTTGGACTATGATCTGGGAGTTTTTTCTGAGTTGATTATCTAATTCAAGCGAATGCAAAGTCCACTTTTTTTTTATTTCCCCCATGGCTTTTTAATAAATGCTGTAATTTAATTGGCTGTTATTTCCCGGTTCAGTACTCCCCGTTACTAAAACGATTTAAATCTAAATATAATCTACGTGACGAAAAAAACGACACACTGGTTTTAAGAATCAATTTGTTATTGCACGCTATTTAACTGTGTGTCACACGCCTTAGTTTTCAACCAATAACATTTCGCCAAGTTGAATAACAATTTATATTGTTCACTAAACTAGCTAAGTCACAAAGTATGGAAAACTACACACAATGACGGATATAATCATTATTATTTATTGCCAACAGCAGGTTTATTAAGTCCATACCTAAGTAAAAAAACTCCAAGTTCAAACTGCAGTTTTCAATGTCATTTTATACGTTACAGATGGAAGTTTTGCAGATAGCCTCAACTAAGCTCAATTATGGTTTTTTGAAGATGTGCAAAACTAATGGAAATCCAAATGAAGTAGAGATGAACAATTTTTTTCAGATGCAATAAAATTAAACCCACAAAATATTTATTACAACATCAAACCTGTCTGAACATTTTGGCCACTTCCAGGTCCAAATTGCCAAAAGTTTCTCAAAAAGTTAATCTCAATAATCAGGAATCTGTGTCTACTCACTAATTAA